GATTCAATCTCAACAGTCACTGCCATTCATTTGCTACACAGATTCAATCTCAATAGTCACTGCCATTCATTTGCTACACAGATTCAATCTCAATGGGCACTGCCATTCATTTGCTACACAGATTCAATCTCAATAGGCAAATACAGTCACATTCTTGTTAGTCTCAAACGGTGATAAATGCCAAGATTCCAAGGAGTGTTTTACAAGTAGCTTTGTGTCTTTAAACAAGGCACACATGATGAAGCCATGTGTATCAGTGAATGAACTAAAATTAAACTCCAAAGTGCTTGTCTCGAGTTGCGCATCATTTGTTGCTTGTGAAGCAATGATTTCAGACTCAATCCCAACAAGTTACATGTTTGTGGTTCGCTACTTTCAACACTGTTTAAGATAATCATGCTCTGGGGAAGGGAACATTTCACACTAATAATAATAATAAAACTGCATTTATATAGCGCATTATGAATTAAAGATTCCTCAATGTGCTTTACAAACAAAAGCTTGACCTTAATCATATTACAACACTTAAAATCATATGATTATCATCTTCACATGTACATTTGAAATCCCTAATTATAAAATAGCTTGGTTGAGTGAAGCCATTACTAGAGAAATGGGGCTTGTAGGAATCTAATCTAAAATGTACGATGTGCTGTACACACTTTTTGAGTTCTGGCAGCTTATGTTGTCCCACTGGGGAATTAAGAAAAGATGTGATATGAACTTACATTTTGCATTTCTGTACATACCAAAAATGCAATCTCTTTTCCTAGGTGTACATGTGACTCGGCATACATGTAATAGGATACATGTATGCACATTTGCACAGTACATGTATGTACATGTACATGTATAGGCCGTGCTAACGACTGGACTTCCCTTTGGAATTGCTGCAAAAAAAATCTGTTCACCCCTTTACTAAGGGTCAAGTATTTAACTCGGCACAGTACGGTATGTATGAGATATGGACATTGTGTATAGTACATGAACATGAACAAGGAAACATGTACAGTGTGAGTTGGCCGTACCAGCAAAGAATGACTACAGTACATTTGACAAAGTCATTACACAGGCTTGGGGGTTGAAAACCAACTTCAAAATGATTATAAAGGCAAAATATGAACATTTATGTGGCAAACACTTTGTGTCCATGGGTAATTGCCCACATGGTGAGCTTGCCAGCCAAAAGTTGGGGCAAATGTGGACTTTTTTCAACTCGGACTCTTTGCAAAGGCTTATAATTCCAACATTAAACTCATGTGTGGCTATTTTCCTTAGGCAGACAGACCTTTGACCAAATAACAAGGATAGAGTATCGTAAATTCCTAAACAAAATCTTGGCCTCACAGGGTATTCTCAAAAATTGAATTTTTTTATTCTCACCGATAAATAATTTCAAAATTCAGGGGGCAATAACTCTGAAAGTATGCAAGAGATGGTCTGAGTAACTCTTCAAATCTACAATTTTTTAATACACATGTAGTAGGGTCCAAGTACCTTCAATAGGCTTTCCTTCACATTAATTCATTTCATCATTTATCATTCCTTATCATCATTACTGGAATTTTTCACTTGATCCTAAGCCAGGCGCATTAGACAGTCTTTGAAGGACCATTTTGCAGATGAATTCACAGGTATTTGATACGGGGTACGAATTATTTTGAGTGAAAGGAATGAATGGGATGGTAAGCCCATGGGAGGTACTTGGACCCTACTATCACCCCACTATGTCCAAATATTAAAAAAAGCGGTTTGTAGAGTCCAACTCAGACTATTCAAGAGATTACTTTTGATGGCAGAGTCCAAATGCCTTGGTTCAAATCACCCTATACATGTAGGTACCAACACGCAGCCTGTAATTCTTATTCGTTTTGAGAGTGGCCTCCGAAATTCCTTGCAAATTAATTTTTGTGATTTGCGAGAGCAAAATAGTGAGCATGGCTCCAATTTGGGGGAGGTTTATCTCAGGAACCCTTTGGAGTTGAAGCCAACAATTTTGCATGTGGTCATACCAAATAGCTGCACTCTTTAAAAAAAAAGGAAAATTGAGTCAAATCTGAGTCGGTTACTACGGAACCTCTGGGGAGTTGACATGGAATGACCCTACCAGTAACTTGGGCACTTCCAGTTCATAAGCCTTATTGCTGATACGGCATGAGTGATTTTGCACAATGGTAGAAAGGTACTACTGTAGGTATCTAGGAAGGAAAAGGGGGTAATGTTTGGTCCTTTTCTTTCCCATGATGCTTTTTACCATTGCGCAAAATTGCTCATGCTGTATCAGCTATATAGCTAGGTCTACGTCCCCCAGGTGGGGTCCGGCGTCCGCTTATCTCCCACGAGAGAAGCGGACGCTGGACCCCACGGCTTGGGGGGTAAGGTCTATGGACTTACACACAAATTTGTTACAGAGCCACACCTGTACCATGTGTACATTCTAATTTCGAGCCACGCATACAAGTAAAATCGTAACGGACTTACCGCCCTCAGGACAGTAAATATGAGCAATATACGCAACAATACGTATGAAGCCAAACCACGATTCACAACCATGAACAATGCATGACATCTCCGATGCTCAACCAACCATAAAAACCTCACATGTGAAATTAGGTTCGTATAACATTCGGGCTTTATTTTCCGAAAAGAAAACCTCCCTAGTCCGTCCACAATTTCAACCCAAGATTCGAACCCACACCCCATGCATCAATTAAAACCATTATGCTGTAACCGCTTGCCTACTACAATTCACACAAGTTGGCAGTGGTTTTACTGTTGATATACATGTACCTATGAACAGTTGCAACATGAGTCTAGTACACATTGGACATGTGCAATACAAACACAACCACTGTGGTTTGGTTTCACACGTTACTACGAATGGTTGCACATAAATCGCGTTAATACATGTACTATGTAGCGTTAGGCCTAGTTTTCAGAAACAAGCAACCAGTAACAACTAGGCCTAGTAACATTAACAATACCACAGAAAAGAAGCTTCTTAAACACGGCGTCGTACAATATATTTGTGGACACCGTGCTTTTTTATCGTAACAGCTGACAGCCGACTTAAATACTCTTTTCATTTACTGGAAAACTGAAAATTATCAGCTCACGTTCAACAATGTATACTTATCAACCGCGCCACGCGTGCATCCTTGCCAAATATATAACGCCCTCTATTGAAACAAATAACAGCGCCCTCTATCGACATATAATATAAGATCAGTAAATAGCGCCCTCTTTTGAAAAAAGCAATGGCGCCCTCTATTGACTCATAATCGATCTTTCGCGATGGCCTTGAATAATAGCGCCCTCTACCCAAATTTTATTTTAGTGAAAATAATTATGTTAGTACATTTCGAAGAATAGCCGAAAGTCAGAAAACAAAGGTTTGCGACGTTTGGTCAGCTTCAGATCTCTTTTAAAAATAACGGCTATCCGACCAAAAAACTGTAATCTTTGAAGTTGGACGCTTTTTATCACGTTTACTAGCCCGACCAAGCTAAAAGTCAAAGTTGGCAAGAAGCCATACTTTGAAAAACTCTCCATAAATGAAATGGCGCCCTCTGCAGTTTTGTGTAGATTGAAATTACTAGTATAGCGCCCTCTAAAGAACGCTTGACTTTGTCATTATTGATTACTAGCGCCCTCCACTGAAAACTCGCCCCAAATTTTTTTCCACTGTTCACATACATTTGTACATTTAAGGTATTCTTCACCCCATACCGATTATAAGTTCTCCGCAAAAACCCTTGGGAGAAGAACGTTGGGAAGGGCGGGGGCAGGTGGTTTTAAAGAATCGCCTCTGATCCTATCATATTTTGAATCATTAATTTTTATTCGGTGGCTTTTGCTGGTTCCACCCTAAAAATTAACTGGAAAATGATTTTATTTAGATCACACTTAATTTCAACTTAGTGGAACATCTCCAAAAATCTTTTTTATATTTCAGTTTTTTACTGAAGTAATCAATTGCTACATTTTTAATCCTACATATTACTATGTACAACTGTACAATTTTAAAATTATTTTAACGAATATGACACATGCAAATTTGCCATTTCATTTTTGAAAAGACATATTGCCCCGAAAATATAATTTGTTTTTCTCTGGTTGACCTATCTCCTGTAGACGGTTAAATTATTAAGATCCACATCGTTTGGTTAGATAACTGACTATCTTCAGTGGGCAACGTTTAGAGAGATCAGTTTATTGAAGACATCTCCAAAAGGTTGTGTTGTTCATGCCATACACTTCCATTGCTTTACTTTTAATCTGCCGGCAAAACCGTCTCGCGATTATACCTGCTTTAGATGTCCATTTCACTACATTACCCAACCGATTCAATAATTAATTTTTTTAATACTGAATAATTAATTACTGTCAACCAACCACAAAAGCCCGAGGTCCTAGGCCTACACCTTTTTAAAAATCATCTGTTTGTTGAATGAAAATGTCATTTTTTTCTTTTAAAACACCTAGCACCAACAGTAAGAACTGCCAATCTCAGTCTTGGCGATCATCTGTTCACAAAAATATTTGCACTTGGAAAATCAATGCGCTAATTCAGTAGCGGTAATAAATTCAATGCAGTGGAGGATTGGGGCCGAGGCAGCAGTCAACCCATTCCCCTCCCTAGAGGCATTTTCAAATCTTTGTTTTCCTTTCCAAACAACGTAGCCTCATCTCCGAACCACACGCGCCGAAATGAATGGAAAATTTCCCCACCCTTCCAATCCTCAAGAGTACTGCATACCAGAAATCAAGCAATTTTTCGTTTCGTTTCAAAGAAAGAGTAGAACATTTAGATGAGGTTGTTGTAGCACTTACAAATTTAAAAATTATCGGAGAAAGTAACATTTAAGCTCACCACAACTAAAATTATAATGCCCGTTTTTTTGTTTTGTTTTTCTGGCATGGAATTTCTAGCTTGACATGAATCACTTTCGAAAATGATACAAGTCAAATGCTATCTCCAATATTATAAGCAAAATAACAGGAACAAGAAATACTTACAAGATGACAACATCATTTTTTTTAACGCAAGCCTCCAAAAAGAATCAGTCATAGTCCTACTGACGTTGTTTCTTAACCAATTCCAAGGCATTTCCAAGTTCTTGTTAGAGTAGATTTTAAGCTCTTCCTCTGTGATGCCTCATAATTTGTACATTTCTCACATTTAAGAATTAGCAGCCGCAAAAGGTTCAACTAAAATAGCAAGTTAATTGACGTACGCAACCCCAGCCAACATAAGCCGGAGTACGGCCGTTGATGACCGCATCCGGTGGTCTCGCCTCAGACACTAATAGGCGAGCGGTATCAGGCCTGGCACACCACCCCAGAGACCGATGAAATACAGCACCAGACCCATCTGGAAAACATCACTCAGCTTGGTCTGTGGTGCTGCATCCTCCACCAGCTCTGGGGCGATGTGCACGTGATAGCGCCGCCATCGCGCCTTCTGTGGTGGAGTGAGGTAGTGTACCCGAGGATGGCTCGCCAGGGTACACAACCCCACGTCAATAATACACGCACGCCAGGAGTCCCCAACATCACGGACCAAAATGTTATCAGTTTTGAGGTCGTTATGAAGGAGACCCCTGTTGTGCATGAATCGCAAACCGTCCAACACATCCAGCACGATGCGGTGCCCAGACGACTGGGCAAGATGTAGTCAGCCGGACCCTTCCAGGACATCCGTCAAGGTCAGCAACTGGCCCGGAATGGAGTTTCTGGTGATCCATTACAAGTCGATCCTTGGTGGTGGCCAGCCACTACCAGGCCAAAGAAACATGGAAAAGACAGATGCCCTGAAAAAAGGCCCATTGCTCTCGCCTCCCTCAGGACTGGAAGTCTGTCTTTGACCTGATGAATTGGATGGCCACTCTTGTTCCATGGACGGTTTCTTGCTATACAGTTCCAAAGGCACCACTTCCTAGGATGACCTTGCCACTGGTAGGCAGTTGTATTGCACAGGGATCTATTCTTTGAACCCCTGCCTTTATAAAGCAGGAGAACACCTCCAGTCTGCAATGCTGAGATGTGGGGACATTAGGGAGGCTGGAGTCCTGCTTGAACTATCCGCAGCAGCGCTGGACACTGTATTGAGGGTTGTTTGTTGAGGCAGCGTTGATGGTGTCTGATGTGATGATGATGCAGGGCATTGCTGCTGGTTTCTTTCTGACGGTTGATTCTGTTGGCCAGCAATGACAGGCAGATTCCTGGGGGATGTCCCCAACCATCTTGCTGGTGATGATAGAGGGGTGGACTTGATCTTTCCCCCTATGGGAACAAACAAGGATATAGCACTAGTACTCCACAAGTTACATGTACTAACATGATAAACTTCTGATTCTTTGATCAAGCCAACATCAGCACACAAACGTATATTGAATGGAAGCTATAGGCCTAGACATCACTGACATCATCATATACTACATGCAATATGTAGCACTATGAGTTGAAAAAGTTTTAGAAGAAATGAACTCTTATTCAAGTACTTCATTTTCAGCAGGAGAACTGACGGGAATGTTTGAGCGTACCAATTTCTTTAAGTGGGTCCATTGAACTGAGATGGCCACTGGAATAGTGAGGGGATATGGTTGCAGAGATGTCTGATGGACTGGAAGGGGGGGCTGATGAGGTGGAGCTAGTTAATAGAACACCTTCTAACAGACAGCTCCACAGGTGCAAATAGGTCTGCAGGGATAATTGGAGAGGTGGCCAGCAATCCCGTGTAGGGAACAAACAAAAAGAGCTGAAGCATATCGGTAGGTATGTCTGAATCACTGAATACAGGCAATTCACATAGTGCGCCACCAAGAGTTTGTCATAGAGAGGCCTTTCACAGTGCATTATGAGGTAAAGAGTTGACAAAATCTTGTTTACTAACTGTCCTGTGCATGGAAAACTTTAATTTTTTTTCAAATGTTTATTTATCTTGGTTGAAAATTCAAATGTGCTTATTGCAAACAGGTATTAGGAAGCCAAAATGATGTTTTTTTTGTGCATGGAGCAGGGAACGCCTGAATCAATCAAATATCCCCAAATTACGTATGAAGTACGCTAAATCACAGCAAGGTGTCGACCGTAGACTTGAAAAGTGGCTTGTCTGTGCCAAACTCTTAGTGGTGCGCTGTATTGTGAATTGCTCCTATTTACAATTACCAAACTAATCAATNTTCACATAGTGCGCCACCAAGAGTTTGTCATAGAGAGGCCTTTTCACAGTGCATTATGGGATAAAGAGCTGACAAAATAATCTTGTTTACTGTCCTGTGCTCGGAAAACTTTAATTTTTTTTCTAATATTTGTTTATCTTGGTAGAAAATTCAAAAGTGCTTATTGCAAACAGGTGTTAGGAAGCCAAAATGATGTTTTTGTGTGTGCATGGAGCAGAGAATGCCTGAATCCATCAAATATCCCCAAATTACGTATGAAGTGCACTAAATCACAGCAAGGTGTCGACCGTAGACTTCAAAAGAGGCTTGTCTTTGCAAAACTCTTGGTGGTGCCCTGTATTGTGAATTGCCCCTATTTACAATTACTAAATTAATCATTTTAAAGGGATTACCAGAAACACTGTTTAAACAATACCCATTTCCTGAGGAAGATTGTCCATGAGGCATCGATGATGTGCCTAAGAGGTGATTGATGGTGAGTTGGACTGTGAGGTGAAGATTGGGGGCCTGATACTGATGCTGGTGAGGTAGACAGACTTGGTATCCGGAGACGTGGCAGCCTGATAACCAAACCCTGAGGAAACAAACAAGAAATAGTAGTCTTCTTGTTTGAATTAGGCAAAAGTTTGAATGGAAAAATCTGAAACCTAATCATAACTAGTCAAATTACTGAAAATATGTACTCATGTACTCTTTTAAATAATTGACAAGTTATCGGGCATTGGTAGAAAGAAACTGATTTTTCATATTTTTGCACGGTGCTGTAACTGTCACTGATAACTAGATTTTGCCATATTTCACGGATAGCAAAGTATTTGCTAAGTCCCATCTCCACAATGCTGGAAACATAGTAACTAGGTCTGCTTTTCTAGTAGACAAATATCCTTTATTTTGAGGATTCTACTAATAAAATACACGTAATTTATGAGGGTTTATCTAATGCATTGGTCCCCTGGAAGTAC